CCCCCCCCCCAACCACCACTTTGAGCGCGGATAAAACTTCCAAACGTTGCTTCGAATCAAATTCCGAGTTGCAACAAGGTACTCCCTATCTACATTGCGTTGTTATGGTTGGGATCGGAATCGGTAGTGGGGGGAGGGGGGGGGGGGGATCTTGGAAGGAAATAGGTTGTGGTTTGGTAAGATTTGGACTGGAAATGACAGGGTTTGGCGGCAGTAGCCGTATTTCATCGGGTCGTCCCGTCCCCCCGCTGGTCGCGGTCGTTGGTTGTGTCGACAGAAAAGATGTGATAAAGCTGCTCGAACACGGATTAGCTCATAACATCTTGGTTGAACCGCATTGCAGAACCTTCCAAATGGCATTTCGTCTCATGTCCCGGCTTCACCGACGCGCATCGTGATGGGCAGCACGAAACTCGATGGCACGAACAAACACGCGCCTACTACCACGAAGATTTGCATACGTACCCACTCCGATGCCTTGATGGTCTGAATGCCGATGTCGGGACCCGCGTAGGCGTCGACGAGTTCGTCTCCCAGCTCATTCCTTGGTCGGTCGTTGGCATGGGGTCAAATTATCGAGGGGAAATAGAAGTTGCTTGAAGAATTGGACTTTTGAATATGCTACTTCCTTCAAAATCGACCCTTGACGCTTTTTTTCCAAACAAATTAGCAAGAGCATGGGTCATGGGCTGCAATGGCAAAAGAGCAAAGTTGGTACTGCCAACGCAAACACGAGCGGATAGCGGGGGTACCGTAACACTGAAGCGATGACACGGCATCGGGCAGCAACCCATCCCGCGCCTTGCCGAATGACTACTACTGGCCGCGACTTTCTTCACCTGATCACGGACGTAGGACGCGGGGCATCATGGCGAACCTGACGATACGCAGCAGCGATCAGCGGGAAGTACGCGCGGCGAAACGGTCTTGTTTGAAAGATTGTCACAATTCTCCTGGAAAATGCATGATTCTTCCACGTGTAGAACGCTCGCTGCTCTGCCGCGGTCCCTGCGTCGCCATCCCTATTTCCAATGGATCCAGCGCACCATGTTTCAGAAAACACGTGGGGGGCAAGCCAATCGCGCAAACAAGCCAAATGCCTGAAAACAACATAGGCAAGCGTAGAAAACTTCACAACCTTAATGCTTAGGCGGGTATGACAATAATCTCAGGTTCTTGTTTCTACTAGATATATCCAGGGCACCATCACGATTCACACTGCAATGTTTGGCAATTGTGAGTCGTGTTGTCACCTTCTCCCTCCACGCGAGCAATACGCTGTTGTAGATCGCAAGCTGCGACTTGACCGATAGCTCGAGAAAGTCCATCAGGGACAAGTCGCCGCGGCTGGTCGTTAAAAATTAATACAGGACGAACAAAAACGCAGATGCGCTTTAGGACTGGCGACAACGTAAGGCTGATGAAGACATGAACATCGACAACATGAACAAGAGCATAGCGAAACGACAGGATTTTTGTCCAATGGCGACATTGAACTACCGTAGACAGTCAGACAAACTCACTCAAAGAAGTACACGATCTTGAGTGGAGGAAGCGAGTTGAACTTGTTGTCGAACAAGGAGATGGCGAACAGTTTTGCTGGTTCGAGGGGAAGCGACAGAGAGAGTAAGCGGAGAAAGAGCAAAAACCAGAAGGAGAGGATCAAGAAGGGCAAAAGGATCAGGTGAAAAACGTTATCATGGAATACCCATGGGGGGGGTGGGGGGCGTTGCTCACAGTCGTGCATGCCGTAGTCGTTTGACCGTTGACCTCGCGTCCCTACAAAGCCGGGACGGAGCACGCCGGGTTCTCACCGGACCAGGCTCTTACATCACCAAGCGCCAAGCGCCGTGAGGTATTCGGCGAGTCGCATGAAGGGTGCGCTGCATCTTGCTAAGGGTGTTCGGCATCTTGTGCTTTCTTCCGTTGCTTACGGATGACAGTTGCGTATGACTTTGTAAACTTTCTGGTGCTTTCACTTCCAGAGACAGTTATAAGCACTGTGTAACTGCCTCGAAGATGCTTGACCATTTTTACACAACGTGGTGCGATCATCCTCCTTGCGCGGAGTGAGGATTCTCGACCCGGCACAACATGGTCTACTCGACCAACATCATGGTTACCGCAAAAAAAATACAGAGGTAAAGAGCAAAACGGTAACCTGGCTGCCGAGTTCACGAAGTGAATTGGCTTGTTTTACAACGTCGTTGCCAAGCGACGAAAACCCAACGTCGATGGCAAGCACCGGAGGGGAGAGGGCAGGACTCAAAGAGGAGGGTACCCAAGGTTTCAGCCAACACCAAGTGTAGACTTTCGTTGTTTTGACACTGCGTTGTTCGATCGCTTTTGGGACTGCGTTCAAAGGATTCTTTCAAAACGATAAGCGACGGGTCGCCTCCTCACCTGGGTCGTATGCAGCCACCGTTGAGGCCTCGAGAACCTCTCTAGCAGCCTCATCGTACCTAAGGATTAATCAGCCACGCGGGAGAGCGCACCAACAGATGACAGGTCAGGTTTCTCCCTCTAGGCAAACTGCGATGAATTGTCTGGTACAGTACCCACGGGTCGAGTAGAAGCCCGTTCACACATACAGACCGGATGACGCTCGGTGGACGTCCTCGGGTGACATGTAGATAAAGGTACACTCAGTGGTTCGCACTACCTGTTCTGGTACGGCGGTCTATCGAGTGTTCGCGCTCCCCAAGCCTCCTCGTCCTCAGACGTGTTGAAGCCGAAGAATCGGCCGGTAACGCCGATGTGCGGGGTGACGTGCACCTGCGAGTTCAAGTAGCCAAGGCCATTGGACTCCATCAAAGGCTGCCACCTCTTCGTGCTGCTGAACTGGGAGCGACGGCAATTTTTCGGAAAGGAGCATGGCGCACAACGGACGGCGGACAGGATTGCGAGGTCGTGGGCGAAGAAAGCTAATTCTCGTCCTGTTGTCCCATGAGGTTTGTGTCAAACCGCACTTCCCTTCTGTGACGGCCAGACCATGGACCCATCAACTCTGTCCTCGAAGTGGCCGGTCGAACCACATGGAGCTCGTTGCTTAGTGAAAAGAGCGTTGATGAGAGAGAGCGCCCATGTTAAACCTAAGGTACAAACCCGTCTACTCAAACCAGCCTTCACCCCCTTGGTGCGTACAACCCATCAGCGGATCTTACACCGCAATTTTCTCGTGGTCTTGTCGCCTGCAGTGCATGCATCTCGGCACAAGCGGCAGCGGGTGGGCCGAGCCGGAAAGAAAACATAAAACATGTCCGGCTCTTTCCCAAATGGGATAAACCTTGCCGATTATCGCCGCATCCTTACCTTGTAAGGTGAATTCTTCGGCTCGTACCCGTCCCAGCTGAATGGTGTGTTGAATGACACGACGAGAGAGAGGCCCAAGTTGGCCAAAGCGAGCACCGAGGGATGCATCCAAGAGGGGCACTTAGTTAAGTGGTGTCCCCATCAAGATGGGCAGGGCTGAACGAAGAGGGGGCGTTGTCCTACTCCTGCTCTAGTCTTGTCACTCACGTGTTTCCTGCCGAGTCAGAGAAAACGAAGTCGCCGGTGAAGGGGGTGAGGTTGACCTCCCTACCCCCTAAGCGTCCATCTGCGTTCCAGCCGTCGTTCTCCATGAGGAACGCCCACACCTCGTCGATGTAGGCTTTCGCGAGCCCCCACGGTGTGTCGGTGCCAGGCTCAGGGTGACCCTCGCCGACATCCACCAGCGACATGGGGCCCCCAAGTGCTTCTGCCTCGGCGGCGATTTGCTCGGAGCAATAGGGCATGTACTTCCACCCGATGTACGAGATCGCGTACAAGACCGACACGCTCAGGTGCAAGTCGAAAATCACACGGTCTTCCTCAGTCGCGGGCTGGCAACGCCGGCGGGCGTCAGAGGTCTCCTTGTCTCCGAAAATGTCTAGAGCTACTCCGTTGGGCTCAAACATCTGAATAATATGCGGAGAGACAGGGGATAGGGCTGTGTCCAGAGTCATGAATACTGAGAGCGCCCCCGCCGTTTGGCTCCAAGTCGTGAGCGGGTTTGTGAGACGTAGGGGTGGTGTCCAGGGCTGAGAGGTGAGCCGAAAGGCGCGAGATCGGCAGCACAACCAGACAAACAGCACAAGAACACCATCGCGGACATGAGGGGTGGGGCGGCAACGCATGAGCTAGTTGTGATAGTCTGCCCGTGTTGTCCATTGTCAACCCTCGGGAAGTATGATACAGTCTAGGCGCTACCCGATAGAGTTGATCCGGTCGGTGGCATGTAAGCGCCGAGCACGAGTTTGATCACAGGTAGTATCGCGGTGACACAGCCGTGTCGGATAGGTGCAAAGAAGCTCGCCTAGACTCCCAGTGTACCTGTCAAGAGCCGCAAGGAGATAGGGGTCTCGAGTACGCCGGCGCATTCGGCCACCTGTAGTTTATTGCGCAGGGTGGAGGAATGAGAGGATCGAACGAACAGGAGATGGGCGGGTATGAAGGGCGGAAGGAGTTGGTGTCTTCGTGGGATAGCACTACCTGACGCGGAGAATTTGGTGAAGTGCCTCGAAGAGGCAGCAGGTGTGCCATGCTGAACTACTGCTTTAGCACTCTTCCCTTCCGATACTCACTCATGTCGATTCCAACCCATTCCGCCCAGTCATGTTCGGCGGAAACTCGGCAGTCAATCACACAATTCCAAGCGGTACTCCAACCAACTACCTAAGGTGCCGGGGTGTGATGTCCCACGTTGTTGCAAGAA